CCTAAGGCCGGAATCAGACTATTAAAGATTGGGATTGAAGATTGAAAGATTGAAATTTGACCAATCAAAACAATAGGACCTAAAATTCCTTTGTCCTCAGTGGTCAAATTTTAATCTTCAATCTCAATCTTTAATGCGTAGTCTGATTCCAGCCTTAGGGAAAAATGTTTTAATACGGCTATGGCTCTCTGATTGGTTCACGTTATTTTAAAACTATATACTTAAAACATTATATAATTGATTACTAAAAATAGTTACCATTTTACACATATATACATTAGTCGCTAATTAATATAAAAGTGTCAACTCGATATATAAACCGATATTCATAGTCGGTTGAGTCGGTTCTTATTTCAAGATCGCCTTAAGTAATATTTTAAAACTCTATAAACAGATCACAGAGCCGTATTTATTATTAAACAGAAAAAAAATCAGAACCATATTAGTATTTTAATATAAAATGCAGATCTTAAAATAAGAACCGGCGACTACACGAATATACCGGCTCATGATTTAATTTTTTTATTCGGAATAAACTTTTAGAACACAACCTAAATTTATGACTAATACGATATATAAAGATACGGGGTGATCCCGATTGACCACGTCTCGATTGGACACCACCAATCACAGCGATCGGTGCTTAGGAGCTTTGTAGTCTCAAGCACTGTCAGTGGCTCGTGTCCAATTGAGCCGTGTCCAACTGGGTGCCACCCCAAATATTGCGTCAGTAGCGACATCTCTTAACGATGGACTGTATTTTCCCATCTTACAATCATTATCGACCGTCGCATATCGGTTATAATCGCGTATTTACCGACACGTCTTGCATTTTGATAAAAAAAATATAACCACAAAAATTTAATTAAATTAAAAAATAAAATTATTAAAACTTCTTACATTTATTATTACACATTTGTTAAAATCTGATTTATTAAATATATTAAAAATTTTAATATTAAAAAAAATTAAAAATTTTATATGGCATGAGAGCAAATAAATCGCGAAATGAATGTGATCATTTAAGTGCTAAATACTCGTATAATAATTTTCTAAAAGGATCAGAAAATTATTATATTTAGCACTTAAATAATCATTCATTTCGCGATGTATTTGCTCTCGTGCCATATCAAATTTTTAATTTATTTTAAATATTAACTAAAATTTTCTTTAAGAAGAATCTAAAACTGAACGGTCGCAAACTTCAATCAACAAGAATTGATTTCGTTAGTTTCTTTATGAATCAAACCGTAGCAACGAAAATGAATTAAATTGACAATATCGAGTTATCTAATTAAATTCAGAGCGCAAGAAACTTAATTGTATGATATAAATTTTCTTATCTCTGAGAGTTCTTTGCGTAAAGTTAGAGAATTATAGAAATTTGAATTTTCATTGATTTAATAGCGTGAAATTATTACTACAATAGATCGCGCGCTTTTATGGGAAAGAATAATAAGAGACGATCATTAATTCCATCTCGAAGTTCAAATGCATCAAATTACTCAATAAATAAGCAACGAAGATCTAGCTCCGACCGTAATAGGCAGTTACATTCTAGTATTAATTGAGTTTCTCAAATATACGGTCAAAAAATATAAATATATTGTTTAGATTACGTCGCCTGAAAGAAAGACGTTGTTTCCTTAGTATACCGATTATTGCGAAGAATATTACTAAGGCCTCGGTAGTCTAATGGCTCAGGACGCTCGTACGGTTTACAAGAGATCCGGGTTCAAGTCCCGGCCGAGGTAATATTTTTCGCAATAAATTTATTAATAGTTTTTATAGATTAACATCTTTATAATATATGATGCTCGATGGTAGCATCAAATTATTAAAATTGCTTGTCAATTTAATTCGCGATTACTAGAGTAGTATTAATTGCGTTTATTTAGTCCGGAAAAACAATTCGGCGCGCAGTTTGAAAAAGACTACAATATGGTATATATGCAAGTACATATATAGTATATATTAGTGATTCAAGATTGAATTATTTAAAGCAACGAAGATCCAGCTCCGACCGTAATAGGCAGTTACATTCTAGTATTAATTGAGTTTCAATAAATAAGATTTCCGTACCTATACATACGCGTTGAAATTCTTATTCGTCAGAAAACGAGTTTAAATATTCACATCAACTTCTCTGCGCGATAAAGACCCGACGACTGCAGAGACAGTAGTCTATTTTGATCTTGTTATCTCTCGCGCGACAATTATCATACGTTGAAATTTACATGGCGAGGAATCTGTTCCTCGCGGCTGCACCGCGCTATACCTTCTGCACTCGAAACGGGAAGGAGCGTGCGATCGGGCGTCAGTGCGACAAAGAGACGAAACGAGAAGTATGTACGAGATGCTCGGCTACGAGTGTGCTTCGTGATACGCGGCCGATACGGTATCGGCACTATCAGCTGCTATCGGCAAGAACCGTCCCGCGAGTGAGTCGCGTTTGAAAGTACGTGCGCCTGCGGCCAGCTTCCGTTCGGTCGGCGGTATATCGCGACGATGTGACGTTCACTTCACGTCGCACGCACGCAGGCAGGACTCGGTGGTATGGCACGGTAGGGCGGGCGTATATTATCGCGTTTCGGAATTCGGAGGCGTTTCATTAAAGAGCGCGCGTTTACGGTACGTGTACGCTTCTCCCCACGGCTCCTCGCCTGAGAGGAGCGTCCGCGACCGCGTTTTTCAGGAGGTGTGTGCGTTGTATGTGTGTGTGCTGACTCGTCGATAAACATCGCGCGCGCCGACGTCATCACCAGGAAACGCGCGATGCCTGTCCCGGCGCCGCGAGCGCAACACCCGAAGGTCTCGTGAACGATGTCCAGGTGTCAATAATTGACATCCGCGTGGTGAACCCGGAGAGACGCGTTAACGGAAGCGCGTAGGTAGGTTGGGGCAGGAAGGTATGGAGGGTGCCAACGGTCAACTGCAGACCAAGTATCAGAAAATCGCCACGGAATACTCAAAAGTGAGACTCTCGTAAAGCCAGATTTTGTACGTTTTCCAGTAAACATCAACTAAGAGTAATATACGCTTGAAAAATTTGTCATATGACAAATAAAAAAAAAATTGGTCTAACAGTAACATAAGATATATCAATATTATAATTTCACACTTAAGGGCTACTTCTGTAACTCTTAACGACAGTCGTATGTTGATGTCGTTGCGCAGATATTATGTAGAATAAAAAAGCTGCGCAATGACATCAATGACTGTCGTTAAGAGTTACAGAATCGATCTCTTAATAATGTAACTGTACACGTGTGTTGTATTATATTTATATCGTTGAGTATGAAATTACAACATTGATGTTATGTTACTGTTAGTTGGAGTTTACTGGGTTACGATAGCGTGCTGCCAATCTATGATTTTATGTTGGCTTTTTACTTCATTTGTTTACTACTTTATGTATCTAAAGGAGGATGATCAATTTGCAGATTCGTGCGCAAGCAAATGTTCTGAAGAAGGCTGTGATAGAAGAACAAGCACGTAACACAGATGTCCGGAATCAACTGAAGGAAAAGGAGGTGGAGTTTCGTAGGGCTGAGCAGGAGATTGACAGTCTAACATTTCGCAATCAGCAGTTGACAAAGCGTATAACTGTACTACAGGAAGAGCTCGACAAGGTGCAAAACAAGCCCAAGAAGGGTAAGGGCAAAGCGTCGGAGAACAACAGTCAGATTCCGGCACCACCGCCACCAAATAACATCTTGGACGAGGAATTTCAGAAGAAGATTGTAGAGAATGCTCAATTATTGTCCCAGATTAGCGACAAGGATAGCGAAATTGAAAGTTTGTACGATAGAATACAACAGTTGGAATGTAAAGTCGATTATTGTGAGAAGTCTAAGGTAGAGTTAGAGTGCCAGTATCAAAGCGCTATAGACAAATTAGAAAGAGAGAGAAATGACTTACAGAGAAAACTAAACGATAGACAGAAACAAGAGGAAACTGTGTCGTGGTCTAGTAATGAAGGTAGACGCGATGGTTTCGATTTTGATACGAGAGGAATACTCTCGAATCATCGTCAGACAGAACCATCACCGTTTTCTTCACCGTCTGCCTCGCGTAGATCGTCGAAGTCACTTGGGGAAGGAAAGCCGCAAAAGTCACAAGAAGAAAGTAATGAATTCCTTTATGCGAAATCATGTGACTTAGAGAAGGAAATCAATCATTGGAAGGCTCAGTACCATATACTCAAGATTAAATATGATGAATTAGAACAAAGAGAGGGTGCAGCAACTCCACAAATTAATAACGACACATTAAAACCTGCGGAAATAAATAATATGGTATGTATTATTAATATATATTTCCACATTCTTTTTAAATATATGTATCGCATTTTTAACTAAATTATATGTCTCAACTTTTTTTTGTTGACAGATTGGAAAATTGAGTGCACCTTTTGCCATACCAGACGAAATTGAAGCTCGTGAATTAAAAATTAGGGATTATTTCCTAGAAGAAATTGAAAGATTAACAAACGAAAAACATGTTTACCATATTAAGAACTTAGCTATGGCCGCTAATGTAATAAAACATACTTTAAATCTTATTTGTATAAACGTTTTTATATTTTTATTATACGATGCACACATTTGTTTGTGTTTTAGAGCGAAGTTATGCACGCGCAGTTAGATACAAGCGAGTCAAAGAGAGAGAAGTGCGAAGCGACCCTGTTAGAAACACTTTCTAATTGTAACAGTATACAAAAAGAGAAGGATGCGCAGGAGATAAATTACAAGGTACAGCTCAATACTATGAGCGAGCATCTTGCCAATATGAATGAGAAACTTATCTTCCAAACGGAGGAGATACAACAATTGAAATTTGAACTAGCTAATAAGGTAAAGATACACAGGATATACATATATAAGGGACAGTCTTTTACGACGGTGTTTAATATCGAAGGGATAAATTTTTTTTTCAGAATAGTAAAAAGGGGAAACAGAAGTGATCCAGGTCAGAATTGCAAAGAACAATCATTGACATTCCATTCAGTGGTATGGTTTAATCGGGATCATTGATAAATCTTATGTACATATTTAGCTCATATCTGAAAACCACTGATTTTGCGCATACTCGTGTCTTTAGCCTGAAAAGCGCTAAAGAGCTCTCTAACTCGATGTTACATTATTTATAAAATCAAAATAAAAACTCATCGAAACGACGTTCTTTTTATGAACGTTGTTTATGTTATAAGTTCAACTTCTAATATTGTACATGTGCAACGATTATTCTTATTTGCTCATGCTTATTTACAGCAATATACCAACACTTCGTACAGGATAAATTTTACAATCGAAATTTGTTAATAAAAAGATGCATAAATCCTTTTTGGTATCACTTGTACGACAATTGTAGTTAGACCATTTATAGTTAAATTGACATCTACGATTGTAAATTATATAAACTGTTCTTTCTATATTAAAAGAAATATAAGAGATATGTACAGCTACTGTTTATAGTAGGTGTTGTGATAAAATTAATGTATAATCGCCAAAGCAATTGTATGTATTGCCTTGCGCGTATTAATTATAAATAAAGTATAATTAATCTTCGGTAAACTGTTTCAAAATTAATACTAAATTACGAGACAGCACACTGTCATTAATCAATGTAATAACATGTACATCCATCATCATCTATTCTACTTTAATAGCAAAGCTAGCACCACAACTACATCCCTGTTCGGCTAAAGGATTGTTCGTTATTCTAAAGGCAGATCGTATTAATTCTGTATGGAATTCTATCGTTGATCCTTTCACGTATTCTAACGATGTCGAGTCTATTATTACCTTAGTGCCATCCTTCTGAAATATTCTGTATAACACAGGAAATAAAGAGTTTCCATCAATTGTTGGTTACAAAAAAAAAATATATTATATATATATATACATTTTAATGCACACCTGTCATCTTCTTGTATATTTGGATCTAAATCAAACTTGTACTGAAATCCAGAGCAACCACCACCTTCCACAATAATTCTCAAACATGTGCTATCATCAGCTATTTCTTTTAAACGCTTCACACAGCTATCACTGATGATCAAATCATCTGCAGATTTGACAGCAGCTTCCATTGACACTCCTCGGGATGATGTAGCCATGGATACATTGTACCATGGTGAGCTATGGAAATATATATATATATATATAGGAATTTTTTAAATATTATATCTCTCTCCATTAGTTAATGAGTCATGTGCCTTCATTCTCTCTTCAAGTTATATACCCGAGTTCTAAAACTCAAATAATATGTTATTGCTCTCAAATTATTCTTCCTTCTTGATGAAGTTAATTGATTTTTACTTTTATTATTAGATGCACACATGATTCATATTAGTTATGTATACTTTTATTATTTTTTAATATTTTTCAGTACAATTACTAATAAAATATATTTTTCCCTTACAATATGCATAAATATTTGTATTAAAATTCAAACAAAATATGTAATACAGCACATTAAATATGCAGAATTATATTGTCATATTTTATGGTAATGAAGTAACATGTTTACATATTATACAAAATGATTATGTTAGATTTAATATGTTAAAAAAAAAATAAATTTTACTCACGCCAACAATCGAGAGAAATACCGATTTGCTGCAAAATTTGAAGACAAACCCCACATGACATGAGTTAATTTCGCCATGTTTCCTAGTCGATATCAGCTGTTGAGTAGTTGAGTTAGTTCCAAATTTTGCCGCCAACTTTAAGCTTTATTTACAAATAGTTGCAGCGACGCATCGTTTATTTTTTGCGCCACATTTCCAAACTTTGTTTTTCTCGGAGAGAAACCTGAGAGCGGCCATCCCGGCCTTTTTCCTGTAAAGGCCGCAGCACAGACTTTTGCATAACGCATAAGGCATAGTGCATAAGCGAATCAACCAATCAGAATCTTTCCTTTCCTCCCATTCCATGGAAAAGAAGAATATCGATTGGTTCATTCTCTTATGCATTATGCGTTATGCAAAAGTGTGTGCTACGGCCTTAATGCTTCTAACTCCCCGTACACTAGCGACACCAACGTCCATTTTCCGAGCTGCGGGAACTACGTACCACGTCCATTTCAAGCCATCCACAGTGTATCTGATCCACATACAACGTTTCATTCTTTACAGGTGTATTATTTGCGCGACGTTTTCCGCGCCTGACTCCTAGTGCCCTTACTCTTTCCAATTCTTTGATTGGTAAGGAGTCTTGATTAGTTTGATTTATTAACGGATTTATTTTTTTATTTTTATATCTAATTATTTTATTGTATTTCGCTAATGAAATTGCAATAATTTTTTAAATATTATTCTTTGTATTATTCCTTTATACAATTCGACATTGCAATTATAATAATTATTCACAATACAATTATCAATGCTGTTCAAAATATAATAAAAATGATAATATAGGAGCATAATTAAAAAATTTTAGTAATGCGAGATTATACAAAAACGTCGAAAATATGTACGATAATATCAAATTTTTCTAAACCAATGTTTAATGAAATATTAATAAATGCAGAAGAAATACTAACAACAATTAGATCGTATTTACTATTAATTATTAATTCGCGAATATAAAATTTAATAATATCTCGCGATAAAAAGTCATTAATATATTTATAACAGTGCTGTATTTCATGGCGTGCAAGATAACTAACTTAATAATTTCATCATATCAAAGTCCCTCCGCCTTGTAGTTATCATATGTTTCGTCAATTTCGTGTAATTTACATCAATAAAGTAACAAAAAATTTGATTTACTACAAGATAAATGCTATTTGTATTGAATAGATATTATATAGAACTGATATACGTATAACTGATATACATTCTAATATCGTAATTAATTTTATTGTAAATAAATGTATGTATGATAGTATTAGATACGTGATACAGAATTTATATAAACTATGTCCAGATAAATGTTATCACATTTACTTTTGTAATTTGCACAATAATTACTAATAAATTATATATTTATTGGAATGTATACGTATATCAGTTATATCAGTTATACGTATATCAGTTCTATATAATATCTATTCAATACAAATAGCATTTATCTTGTAGTAAATCAAATTTTTTGTTACTTTATTGATGTAAATTACACGAAATTGACGAAACATATGATAACTACAAGGCGGAGGGACTTTGATATGATGAAATTATTAAGTTAGTTATCTTGCACGCCATGAAATACAGCACTGTTATAAATATATTAATGACTTTTTATCGCGAGATATTATTAAATTTTATATTCGCGAATTAATAATTAATAGTAAATACGATCTAATTGTTGTTAGTATTTCTTCTGCATTTATTAATATTTCATTAAACATTGGTTTAGAAAAATTTGATATTATCGTACATATTTTCGACGTTTTTGTATAATCTCGCATTACTAAAATTTTTTAATTATGCTCCTATATTATCATTTTTATTATATTTTGAACAGCATTGATAATTGTATTGTAAATAATTATTATAATTGCAATGTCGAATTGTATAAAGGAATAATACAAAGAATAATATTAAAAAAATTATTGCTATTTCATTAGCGAAATACAATAAAATAATTAGACATAAAAATAAATCCGTTAATAAATCAAACTAATCAAGACTCCTTACAAATCAAAGAATTGGAAAGAGTAAGGGCACTAGGAGTCAGGCGCAGAAGACATCGCGCAAATAATACACCTATAAAGGTGTAATATTTATAATACTATACTATAATAATATACCTATAAAAAGAGTGAAACTTCTTTATTCACTAAACGCGCTTACATGTTTCGACTCATTTTTTAGCCTTCCTTAGAGCAAACACACACTGACATATATAAAGTAAAAGTTATCCTGTCATGGTGAGCTCCCCTACATCAAGGATTTCAATGCCAGAACCAAATAAAAAGAAAGAAAAGGAAAATGAAGAAGAAGGGAAATATTAAAAAAGTCGAATTAAAGAATATAGAAACTAATTTATCAAAAAACTTGAATAATATAATTAATTATCCCGAAAATAGGGACGCTCACCATGATTACAAAGTACCGCAAACATTATCATGAATATTGCAAGAACCGGTTCCTGATATGTTGGCCAGTTGGTATGGTGAGCGTCCCTATATTTTCGGGATAATTAATTATATTATTAAAGTTTTTTGATAAATTAGTTTCTATATTCTTTAATTCGACTTTTTTAATATTTCCCTTTTTTTCATTTTCCTTTTCTTTCTTTTTATTTGGTTCTGGCATTGAAATCCTCGATGTAGGGGAGCTCACCATGACAGGATAACTTTTACTTTATATATGTCAGTGTGTGTTTGCTCTGAAGAAGGCTCAAAAATGAAACGAAACATGTAAGCGCGTTTAGTGAATAAAGAAGTTTCATTCTTTATTAGTGTATTATTTGTGCAACGTCTTCTGCGCCTGACTCCTAATGCCCTTACTCTTTCCAATTCTTTAAAAAAATAAATTAAAGACATACTAACCTGCAAAAACGGGCTACTAAATTTATTAGTAGCTCGTTTGTTCTATGGCTGAGTATACTTACAAAGAAAAGAG